GGCCTTGCATACGAATTCCTGGAGAATTACTCCAAAGCCACAGCTTGCTACCGCGCCTCAGGCGCTTCCAGTTGGCGAGAGTGTCTATACGCCGCCCAGCAGCAAACACCCGCACTTTCTCCCGATGCCCTGTCAGATCTCGCGTCTTCGCTTGCGGACGCCCTCACCGAGGCTAAAGATCACACATCCGCTGCTACCATCTACATCGAATACCTCTCCTCCATCGAGACCGCCATTCGCTCCCTCTGCAAAGGCTCCCAGTTTGCCGAGGCCCTGCGTCTCATCTCCCAGAAAGCCCGCCTCGACCTGTTGTCGACTGTTTTCGACCCCGCGCTCGTCGACGCGCTCAGCAGCACGACCGACCTCCTCGCCGATTGCAAGGCCCAGCTCCGCGCTCAGGTACCGCGCATCATGGAGCTCCGCCGCCGTGCAGAGGAGGACCCGCTCGCTTTCTACGAGGGCGAGCGTGGGCCGGCCGGCGCCGACATTCCTGATGATGTCTCCATCGCCGCCAGCTCTCGCATCAGCACATCCGCCAGTCTGTTCACGCGGTACACAGGCAAAGCGGGCAGTGTCGGCACGGTCGGCACAGGCGTCAGCCGGGCGACGAGCAAGAACCGTCGACGCGAGGAGAAGAAGCGCGCACGCGGACGCAAGGGCACAGTGTACGAGGAGGAGTATCTCGTCGCCTCGGTGAGGCGTCTCGTCGAGCGTATCGAGAGCGTCAAGGCCGAGGTGGCTGCTCTTGTGTTTGCACTCGTACGTAGAGACATGGGTGAGCGCGCGAGGGCCGTTGAGGCGCTCATGGGCGAAGTTGTTGAGGGCTGCCGCGTTGCTGTTGCCGAGGTCTTCGTCCCCCTGCCCAGCCAGGTGGCAGAAGAACAGCCCGAGGACCACGTTGCCGTGTCAGGAGGCGCTGCCGTGTTTGGGGAGTATCTGGACGCAAGGACCCGCAGGCAGGAGGCGCCGGTTGTTTTGCCTTTTACAAAGCTGACACTTCTCGGGGCATGACGGGGGGGATAGCTTCGTAAGGATAGAGAAAAAATCAAGAAAGAAGGAGTTTTGATGCAGTCTATTCGCTGCTAAAAGTACACTTTGTTGCACATCTAAGCTTTCTCGCTTCACATGATTCTAATTTGTACACTGATTAGGCCCCACCAGGTCTTGTGGACAGCCCGCTCCCCATCCTGCTTCGCCTCTTTGTAAAACCTCATTGCTGCGTCGTCGGTGACGAGCCGTCTGGCGCCGCATCAAGGAGCTGCGCGGGCGTCTCGTGGACCTCAGACACGCCGGCGGCGCTGAGGGCGGCGGCCTTATTCCTGGCGATGACCTGGCCGACCTTCTCGAGCATCTCCTCGGTGAGCATGGGCTGGCCGCGCGCGCGGCGGGCGTCGCGCTGCTGGCGGTTGAACTCCTGCAGTGGCGTGAGCATGCTGGCGGCGGTGACGCGGCCGGCCTTCTTCTCGCTGGCCTCGGCCTCCTTGCGCTGGACGTATTCGACCTCGTGGCGGGTGCGGAACTTGGAGTACTTGTTGCGGAGCTCGTCAATGAGCGTGTCGGGCAGCGGGCAGGCTAGGAGCGAGGGGACAAAGGTCGGCTCCTCGACGGCGGCGCGCAGCGTGTCGGCGGGGTGGTCAGCGCGTTCGACGACCTCGCGCTCGGGCCAGGGCACGGCGACGTTGAGGCCGGTAATGTAGCGGGTCCAGGCCTTCCAGCCCGTGGCGCGGTGGCGCTTGACAGGGCCGGCGGTCAGGGAGCGGACGATGACATCGCGGGTGATGCCGGTGACGGGGTCGGTCAGGGGGTGGACGAGGCGGATGGCGGAGATGGGGAGGGTGCCGGTGGCGGCCGAGGTGGGAGGCTGGGAGGGGTCGACTTTTCGGTGGACATCGGGCACGACGGTGAGATACTTGTCCGTGTTAGCGGGCCTTTGTTTCTGACTGGGAACATGTGCCATGGCAGGTGGGAGGAGTGCATGCGTACCTTGCCCAACGTCTTCAGCTCGACCACACCATTGTTGAGGTCAATGTGGTTGATCAGGTCAATCTTGCCCTTATCAGGACCCTCCATGACAACGACGCGATCGTTCTTGACAATGTTCAGAAGCTTGCTGCCACCAGCCCAGGCGCACCTCTGCTCAATCTCCCACGCCTTGAAGGGTGTCTGTGGCCTGTTCCTCGATAACAGGGTGGCGCCGTGGGTGAAGTTGCCGTCGACATCGCGACGGGGCGTCAGGGGACCGAGGTCCCAGGCCTCGGCGCGAGCGACACGGGCGGCACGCAAGTCGCCGGCGATCTCCTCGACATTTTGGGATTGCTCGGAACGGCGTTCAAGCTTGCTCCTGCGATAGACGTTCAGGGTCTTCTTGGCGGTGCGGCGGGCGACGGCTCGCTGTGCTTCCGCAGTGCGCTTTACGAGCTTCTGCATGGTGTATGAAAGGGTTCGAAGTCTTCAGGGGGTTTCGTTCATCGGGCACGCCGCATTGAAGGGCTGGGGTCGGTGGGAAGGGCGTCAGCTAACTGTTGCGTCGTTCTCGTCGAGCCCGAAGCTTTCACGACAAAATTCCCCTGGGCATGGGATTGGCCACTGCATGTGGGTCCAGAATGGGCAATTGAGTCGTGGGTCCGACCCATCGTGATCGGAGAATCGCCGGGCCGCTGGCTCTCATGTGGTGGGGCAAGTCTTCCAGCCGGAGCTGGCTCACTAGATGGCCAGCTGGTGCCACTGATGCTTCCTCGCTGCACCTGAGCACGACCTGTAGCTACCTAGGTACGTACCTCGCTTGAGGTCAGCAGTGCGACCGCTCGTCATATTGCACTATCCCCCTGACTGGGCGCTGTCCGTTGCCAACCGCAACTCCGTTCTATCTATCCCCTCTGTCTCACAACGAGCTACTAGGGATACCTAGGCCATGATCTGCTGTTGCACCGCTCCTCTCGAAGACTCCGCCTTCATGCTCTGCGCTTGGCCTCCAGAGTCCGCTGTCCAGGTCAGCCTTGCCGACGGACCAGATTGGACGACCACGACTCAGGCTGTGACATGTCAGGTGCCTGCCAGGAGAGCGGAAGGGAGTCCTAGAATCTGCAGGACTTTCTGTTCCCCCGGTCTTCAGGGAGGCATGCTCCAAACAGCCTAACCGCACCTCACTGCCAGGTCACCAACTGCAGCGTCACGACAGCCACGAGTCTTGGATCTGCAGTGTGACTAATGTCGGCATTGGAGGGACCGGCAGCCTTATTACGACGAACCGACGCGGCGTTCCGTGTCGGGCAGGGTCCTGGTAGGCTGCCTAGCTTATTACCGTAAGTTTGGTGTCCTCGTGATTCGGTTCACGGGCGGACATCGGGCGTCGATGTCCCATGTTCGCTGATGGAGGAACCGGCCACGGAGTTTGACGCTTTTGAACCTGTGCCAAACCACAATGGAGAGCGAGGAATGAAAATGATTGACACAGAGGCTGATGGTGTCTTCCGATGATGGTTTTACGCCTTGTTGAGGATGGTGGGGAGGAGGAGCTACCCGCTCACTCAGCAAACATTTGAAACCCGAAGCCAGAGAGGCAATCTGCGTGCTGCTGATCTATCTATGGCAGCGCCAGGGGTGCGCAGTGTTCAATCTTGCCTCAGAACACGGAACGGCCAGAAGCCTGGTGAGCTGAAATGGCTGCCAGGGTTGCCTACCTCTTCCTAAGTACCTGCATTACCACCTCACGGGGGGGGGAGTGTAGAGATTCAGTGTGCCTTTAGTGGATGTTGGGGGTCGTCCAGTGTACAAAGTCGCCCAATGAGTGTCGCGTCCGACCCCCGCCCCCAGCCCTGGCCCCGAGCGACAGTACATAGTACTTCGACAGGCACAGGTACAGGCATGGGTAGAGAGCGAGTGGGTGCGAGTGGCACATCCTCAGGTTGATTGTAGTTATCGGCTACCTCTGGGAGAGTTGAGGGATGTACCTTTTTGGTCGCCATCACGAGGAAAGGGTACTTCGGACGAGCTAGGCGTGGCAGCACACTCCAAGCCACACCTGGTGCATAGCCCGACAATGATGCCGAGCACCTCACCTCGCGACTGTGAGCACGTGTTGCTGGTCGGGAATTTGGGCAGGCTAGGCAAGGGGAAGGGCGGGGCGGGCGAAAGAATAGAAAGAAAGAAAGCGAGCGAGCGACCGATTTTACCTGGCAGTCGGATAGGACATTGATTCCATCATCATCATCATCATCACCACCACCATGACCGTGATCATTGGTAGTCAGGACCTTAGTGTGACGAGCCAGAAAGGCGCTGAACATGCAGCATACGAGTGGCATCTCAGCATATAGGTACCTGATCCTAATAAAGCTGTCACCATCCTGCCTGTTCCCAAGATCGAAAGATTCGACTGCCACTGGCCGTGACAGCAACCAAGCACCTCGCATCGCTGTCACCCACCCACCCCGGCTGCCATCCCAGACGCACGTACCACCCGAGGCCCTGTCGACCGACCTGTACGCGCGCCCACTTCCAGGTCCACGTCCACGTCCACGTCCCACGTCCACACACGCCGACCCAGGCTCCGAGCCTAGACCAAGCCAAAAACCGAGCCGCTACAGTGACCTGAGTAGGTGCCGTCAGCGAGAAAGAAACGTCCAAGCCGCTACCAGCTGCCCTGTGAGGGCGCTCACCCACCCCGTCGTCAAGTCAACCCCACTGCCAGTGTCTGCCTGCACAACTCACCCTGCCTGACCTTACCTCACCCACCCACCCGCCTACTGCTCTCCACTAAGGTGCTGCTTGCTGCTGCTGCTGCTGCTGCTGCTGCTAGGTACTGCTACCACTGCCACCACCACTGCCCATCACTCCCTCATCAAACCCCCTTCTCGGCCGCAGCAGAACTCAACTTCTCCATCTCTCCACGACACCCCCGACCGCGCCTTGCCATCCCCCTTTCTACCATAACAACCAAAGCACAACACTCATCCTCACCGACCGCCTCTCCATCCAAAACCACCCTCACACCAAACACCATGGCCGAAATCCGCCGAAAGCTCGTCATCGTCGGCGACGGTGCCTGTGGTAAAACCTGCTTGTTGATGTGAGTTAGCATCCACCCAAACCGAGGCCTTGTGGCCTCGCGAACCTCCATTCGTCCTCCCATCCCTCCAGAGCCTCGATGACGACGGGGAGCTGGTGCTCTCTTCCGCCGCCCGACGACGACGATCGCAGGCATTCTCTTTGGCGTCGTCACCTCCATCGCTATCCAAATTCCTATTGCCATTTCCATCTGTCGATCAGAGCTGACCCTCCTACGTAGCGTATTCTCCAAGGGCACTTTCCCCGAGGTAAGACTCTTGCCCATCGGCCGCATCATGCCTCTCCTCCCGCTCCGATGATGCTCATCTCAGCATCTTCGACCGCCCTCAATACCTGCGCCACAGTGATGACTGACCCATCGTCAAGGTTTACGTCCCCACCGTCTTCGAGAACTATGTCGCCGATGTCGAGGTCGATGGCAAGCACGTCGAGCTAGCTCTTTGGGATACCGCTGGTCAGGAGGATTATGACCGTCTTCGCCCTCTGTCCTACCCCGACTCCCACGTCATCCTCATTTGCTTCTCCATCGACTCTCCCGACTCCCTCGACAACGTCCAGGAGAAGGTACGAAATACTCCCCGTCCTCCAAACAGGCCAGCATCTTTTATGAGACGCGGAAGATTCATCTCGTCTCTTCAACGCCGTTGCAACAGCATGCTGACACGTTCTCTTTTCTTCTCTCCTAGTGGATTTCCGAGGTTCTGCACTTCTGCCAGGGCCTGCCCATCATCCTTGTTGGCTGCAAGAAGGATCTCCGCTACGATAACAAGACGATTGAGGAGCTCCGCAAGACGAGCCAGAAGCCCGTGTCGCCTGAGGAGGTCAGTTTTCCCTACATCTTTGCCTTGAGCATCGTCAAAAGATTGCTGACGCCAGCGTATAGGGTGAGGAGGTTCGCAAGAAGATCGGCGCCTACAAGTACCTCGAGTGCTCTGCCAAGACGAACGAGGGAGTCCGTGAGGTCTTCGAGCACGCCACTCGTGCCGCCCTCCTGTCGCGCAGCCGAGGCGGCAGCAAGAAGCACAAGTGCAACCTGCTCTAAATACATACCCGCACTTCGACTCGTCTGCACACACGCCCACCCGCCAACGTCTCCCTCCCTGTATCCTCCTTCCCGCTCTGGGACCCTCAAACACTTTTTGTGTCCCATTTTCACCCCCCATTGTAATCTCCATACCAATCAATCGTCCTCATTCATTTGCCCCCCCATCGAATTTTCCTCCCCCGGCTTTTCGGATGAGCAAGGGTCGTCGCGGCGGTTTTGGAGGGCGAGGGCTATATCCGCCTGCATAGGTTCCTGGAATTTGGAGTTTTGATCAATATCGTCTCGTTCTCACCAAGAGCTGTGCGCGCAAAGCACATGCATCCACATCCTCAAGTTTGGCCGGATGTCCTATGTGTTGTGAATTTGTTTGAGGGCCTGCCGGTTCTTCAGGCTTCGCCAGCTGGGAAAAGAGGCAGGCGTGCTCGGCAGCCCGCTCGGATGGACTTGCAGGACTTGCGTGAGGGTGCTTCGTATCTTGAATGGGACGTGGCACATGGGCCTCACCGACGCTTGCACGTTTGAGGCCGATTGGGGCGGCAGGGCTCGCAGGGTAGCAAGGGAGAGATACACGGACGGCACTGGCACTGGGTTGTGTGGGTGGTAGTTTTGGTCTTGTAGTTTTGTTGGACCCTCGGCCGACTATGCGGCCGTCTGTTCCTGGAGGGGCTGGCTATATCATACCTGCGGTTTGCTTTGCGTCATTTGGCTCTCGTCTTGTTTTCCTTTTACACTTTTTCTTTCCTCTATTCTACCGTTTCTCAATGTGTTCCCGCTGGGCTCGCGACCTAGACCAGGCAGGAGATGGGTGCGCTCTAGGGGCTGTGATATTTGGTGTGCTCGAATTACATGTCTGATATTGCTGCCCTTCACGACGCGCGTAGTCAACGTCCACGTCTCGCCATCGAGTGGTTTGCATGGCGATGACCGTTGCCATTACATGAAGGACGATTGGGAGAGTCGAGCGAGGCATGCAAATCACGAACGCGCCGCGCCCTGGTCGGCAATGAGGTTTCCTCGGGCGCTTCAGTACCGGGCTCTGCCACATAAGTGACAGCCATCTCTCTTTCCTCGCCCAAGGCAACAACACGTACGGTAGGGAGCAGTGGCAGGCAGGCAGAACGAACGGGTGGTCCAATTTGGGTCTCGTCGAAATGTTCGGCCCCAGCCGCTGGCCTTTCATAGCATCATCGTCACTCTCAAGAGCACCGTGTCATCGTCATCATCATCATCATCGTCGTCAACGCCACCGCCTCAACGCCAAACCCGCCCACCTTGCCTCACTAGTACATGGTGCTCCTGACATCCCCTGGATCCAAAAGCTCAAGCTGTCCCCAAAGTCTTAGACAGGGCACGACTAGATTCGACCGTCAGAAAAATTCCTGTCGGGCAGGGTTCGAAATGAGACGGGGGAAGGGATTATCACTCACGGCACCGCAGGAAGAGCAGGTCTTGCTGTCGCTCGACATGGCGGCGCTGCACTTGGGGCAGGAGCTGTGGGAGGCGTTGACGGGGTACATCTTGGACGAGTGCTTTCTTTTCTCAAACGGGCTTGGAGGGCTTGGTGTGGATGTCAGTGGTGGCAACACGGCAGCAGGAGGAGATCAGAAGCAGGAAGAGAGGCGTACCTGTAGGGTATGAAGTGGAAAGAATACAGGAGGACAGGCTTTACCCCGCGTGAGGAAGGTTTGATGCGTTTCTCGCGAGGAGTAGATAAAGGGTCGCGCGGAGGTAAGCTGTATCACGTGATTGATATGCGCTGGTCCAATAGCGTTGGCTGCGAAGGTCAGGAGGACAAGTTTTGGTACCAACTCTGGCCGGACGCAAGGTCTGGATCCCACCTCGCGAGGATATGCTGGGTTTCATCTGGGAGGGAGGGGTTGGCGGTGGTTCTGGATCTCGTCGGAACGCTTTCTCGGGTAGTGCGCTGCTTAGCTTGGTATTGACCGCCTTGGTGGCATGAGCAAGTCAATTGGACTGTTCTCTGTTGGCTGAGGCGACGGGCGGAAACCAAGCAAATATACCCGACAGGCACATACAGATATGCTACATAGGTAAGGATATGTTATGAAGCTCGCTGTCTTGCGGGCATCTTCCTCGTGTCACAAGAAACTTAGGTAGGGGCCCTTCGTCGCAGAGTGACAGGAAATGACAGCTCCTCAGACATTTTGCCTAGCCAACTGTCCGGGCCAGAACAAATAAGCCTCTTCTTCTTCAGTGTCATCCAACATACTGCTGGGTCAGCACACTACTCTGTTGACGGTCATCTTTGAATCGGAAGTGCATCTCAGACGTGGTCTAGCTATCACACACACACACACACTCTCTCCGTGTCAGCCAAAACAAGCATGAGACACGGCCCATCTCTGCACTCGCCGCCAAGCCACAACGTGGTCGAGATGCACAAGGCGAGCAAACCATGTCTCGCGCTTTTGCTCCGTCGTGTGTCAGCAAGTTGTATTGATCTCTATCGACTGACTTTGGAAGAGAAAAAAAGAAAAAAAAAACCCCCTCCTCTCCCCATGCCCCCCCTCCCCTCGGCTGAGCCTACGAAACATCACAGAGTCAGGCCCGCTTGCCGCAACGTACCTAGGTAGGAATGGCACATCCCGCACCTCGCCTCGTCAAGCCCCCTACCTATCCCCACCAAGGCATGCTGGCGTCACGCCACACGTTGGTGCCGTCGTGCACGTCCCCGGCGCTCATATAATGAGAGAACCAGTCGTCTATGTACGTCACCTTGAAGTTGACCCTTGCGTACGCTGCCGTGATGGCCTCGGCGATTATGTCCACGCCATCAATGACAGGACCGAACGGATTGGGCGCCAGGACCGTGTGATTCGCCGTCAGCACGATGCTGTTGATGGCATTCGGGTATACCGTCAAGACCCCTCTGCCGAAGTTCTCCTGTCTGCGTACGAGTTCCTTTTCCCTTTTCCGCAGCGGCAGGGACGCATCAATGATGGACCCGGCGCGCCCCGCTGGGCCTGCTTTGAGCGACTTGCTGTCGCTCACGGCGGGCGCGGTGTTTCCTGCCTCCTCATCGCAGTTGAAGACCTGGTGATCGACTGGGTAGAACAGGGCGGGCACGCGGAAGATTTCGTCGTCCGAGAGGCCCGTCTCGCGCTTGAGGATCGCGATGTTGTCTTCGATGCGGACCGTCACGTTGCGTGTAATGATCGCCATCTCGGCCAAGCCCAACACCTCGTCGACCGTCTCGATGAACTTGCAGCCGAAGGTGGTGGGCAGTACTGGCCGGGACACGGCGGGCAGCCCGCCGTGGCCGTCGCGTGAGGCGCGGGCGAGGAGCTCGAGGCCGGCGTTGGGATCGTTGATCATGAGAACCCAGCCGCGCTCGTTGTCCGCCGGCAGGAACTGGAGGAACTTGTCGACTTGGGGGGTAGCCAACCAAGACACGTCGAGCAGGAGGGGCACCTGGAACTCCTGCGCTTCGAGGAAGGGAAAGATGAGCGGCTTGACGCCGTCCACGGCGCCCATGATGATGCGGCCGGCGGGGTACGATTTGCCGTTGTGCGTGTAGGGGGGGATGGTCTCGAGGTTCCCCAACGAGTCAGTGGGGCTGCCCGACAACAAAGGTTGCTGCACGGCGCCCACGGTGTCTGATCGCAGGCGATCGATTGCCTCGACACCAGGGAAGAGGTGCCACTGGGCGGACCGGATCACGATGCGGATCACGACGGGACCGTGAGGGCCAGGGATACTGGCGTACCCCGACTCAAAGTAGTCCTGCGTCGTGGGTTCATCTTCGTCGCTGGACATGAGGGTGACGGGTTCACTGAACCCTGCGTCGGCAACGTCCTTCTCAAGTTGTTTTACAAAGTAGGCCTGGGCGCTGTCAACGTCATCGTCAGCAGCGGCTGTTGACATGAACTGCTCCACGTCTTGGGCGTGGTGGTGTGTCAGAACTGGGGCCACGCGGAAAGCGACAGCATCCGTGGCCTCCTCGGCCCCGTCGGTCACGGTCATATGGACGACGGCAGTGCCATCCCAGCCGCCAGCACGTCGGACATCTCGCGCGTCAATACCAAGGGACAAGCCTTTCCTGAGCTCCTGTGCCGTGAAGATGTGATTTGCTGCAATGTATTTCCAGGCGTCGCCATCCTTTTGGAAGATGCGGACCTTCTTGGCGGCCAGGTCGTTCGTCACGTGGACAGAGCCTGTTGCACTGGGGCTGACCTTGCAGTTCGCGAGGACCAGGATGGGAGCCAGGTATTGTGGGTTGCGTTGAGTATCGTCTGAAGCGTCGTTGCAAGACTCGACCGCGTTGCCCAGGATTTCGGTGTTGACCGACAAATCGAGGCTATGATTGAGGTTTGAAAATACGTCGAATAGCTCATCGTGGCAATGAGCATCCGCGTCTCCGATGTTGGGCAAGAAAAGGGCACCTCTCGTCTCACTCCACTCGGCTTTCTTTTCGGCATCCGTCTTGGCATCGATGATTCCATCCCGGTTGGTATCCGCAAGTATGGTGACGTTCAGGGCACACGCGAGAGGAGCGCACGCTATGACGGTTACTAACGTACGCACCAGAGCGATGGAGGTGTGGCATGTTCACTCACCGAGGGCGAGTGCCGCCGTTTGAAGGTTGATTTTCATTGTTAGGTTTCGGAAGGTAATGACTGAGGTAGGTCCTTTAGGCAGAGTAGATGGACGTCTTGCATCGAAGAAGTGAAGACCTTGATCATTCCAGTCTGATCCTCAACGGAGGGTTCCCGAGGATTTTATCATCACATCCCCTGCGTCAGAAATGTTCAGAGTCCCGTTTTCTGGGTCTGGGCCTTTCTCGATCAAAGTTATTTTCCTTCACCTAGGAGGCCTGGTCACCCAAGAGGAAAGCAAGACCCAAGTCTTTGTTGTCCTTGTACAACCATTTCTACACTAAAAGGCTGTTCATAGTGTCTGGTGGGCACTCACGCTGTATCGTAAACCTAAAATACTCAAATTAGCCTTCAATTCAAGGTTGTTACCCCTTGTGCATGCCTCTAGATATTAGTTGCCTGGAGCATGAGATCCACAGACCGAACTCAGGGGCATACATGGTACCTTGGCGGAGCCAACTGTTACTCTCATTAAGATGCAGAAAAGTTCTCTTTATCAACACCAGGGCGCTTGATTCGTTATGCGGTAGAGGAAACGAGAACACCGAAGATTGACAGGCTTAGGGGTAAACAAAGGGGAGGAGGGCGGAGGGAGATGTAAGCTTCTGGGTGGATGCTGTCGAAACTAGATGTTACTTTTCCAGGGTAAAGTTCAGCATCGGCAAGCTATACCACCCAGCAACACGCAGATTCTGTATTCTTTTAGTTCACTACCGTAATTTGAAACGGGACACCCGTCATGTCTAGACTGCGCCCTGAAGGTTCATATAGTCCCACATGTTCAAGGTACCTTACTCAACGATACCGACGACTAGCGTAAACCCCCCCCCCCCCCAAAGGATGATAACTTTTTAAAGTCAAAGTGGGACCTTCGTCAAATTGACGGCAACTCTCGAGGAAGTGCGAACGTGGGGATTGTGCAATGGTGAAACAGGCCAGGTGGGAAGAAAAAAGGATAATGGATGTTACACTGCTCCCTTGCGCAGTGCATTGGATGCGACTTACAAGTCATTTACGTCTAGTTGGTACAGCCCGCTCTAGTCCCAATCAAGGTTCTCATCTCTTTTCAGTTCGTTCAATCGTACACTGCCATTTCACATGCACTGCGCCGTGCCGCTCTCGTCTTTAGATGAAGGGTTAGCAATCTCAAATATACACAAGCAAGCCAAACATGCTACTCACTGCTAACCATCTTGGCGACGGCCTGTACCAGACTAATACACATGACAATGGTGCCAAAAACAACAATGGCCATGGCCATGTACGTGCGCCAGGAGCGCGTCGTCAGCTTGATATAGCACAACGGCGGCAGGATATATGCCATGGCGCACGCGCTGGTGGCGCCGACGAGCTCGAAGACAACGCCAACATCACACGTCATGAGGCTGATGACAGTAGCCGATCCCACGAGCGCCGTGCTGAAGATGAGGTGCAGCTTCAGATTGAAGGGCTCGCCGGGATAAAAGTAGTTGAACATGACCTCGCGGCAGACAAACGCCTCGAGGGGCAGCGTCGTGAGCATGTTGAGGCCGAAACAGAGACGAGCAATCGTCACCATGACGTTATCGGCGGGGAAATTGTTGAGAACGTTACCCAGCGTCTTGTCGCCAAACGTCAGGAAGCCGGCGAGCGCCATGAGGAGACAGAAGACCATGGAGATGCCGGTCGAGTAGTGGGTGACGCGGGAGAAGCGGTCAATGGTGGGCGTCTTAAGGGAGCCGTAGATGAGGAGCGAGTTGTGGTGGCACACAAAGGCTGTTTCTCGTTAGCTGTGCTGTGCGGACGATCGGCGGCTGACGGTGTCTACCAAAAGAGATGACGCCAATGGCCTCGAAAATGCCACCGTTGATGGTCAGGAGTGCTGGCGTGAAGGAGCCCCGCTCAGATCTGGGGGTCAGCAGGCCCTGGACGACGACCGTTACCACAATGACGCCCATACTGATGAGGGCCAACGTGCTCGCCTTGGCCAGCTGCTCATGGTTAGCAACACGTCTTACTGGTGTTGGAGGTAGGAGGGGTAAGGAACATGGGCACCTTGGAGATGTCTCGGTACAGCGTCAGTGGAAAACTGACGCCCATGACGAAGACGGCAATGACGAATTGACGGTTCGCCAAAAGCCATAGAACCGGCTTGTCCCGCAGATCGGGCCAGATGGCCAAGAAGACATGAGGTATAGAGTCGCCGACAATGACACCAAAAGCCACCATGCCGCCAAAGGCAAATGCCCACTGTGCCACGGAGATGGCGATGAGGCCCGGCCTGCCAAAGCAGTGCTGAACCGTGCCCTGGAAGCTGTCGCTGCCACTGAGCTTGCTGTTGATGACGATGAGGCAGATGGTCCAGTCGACGACAAAGGTCAGGCCGACGAGCAGCACGACGCCCGCCAGCAGGCCGGCCTGTTTGAAGGCGTAGGGCTGGCCGATGATGCCGGCGCCGATGATGGAGTTTGCCATGTTCATAAAGGCCATGCGCAGCCCGGATTTGGGCCGCTGGCGCTGCTGCTCGGCCCAGTCGTGGACATCTTCGTCTTCGGCCCAGGGACTGTTGGCGAGGGCGACAGAGGGCGCCTCAATGTCGGTCAGGAGGGGGTGATGCTGGTGGTCGCCGTGGCGGTCGTCGTCGTCGCCGTCATCGTGTTGGTCGAAGTAGCCACGGGGTTCCTCCACATCGAAACTGCTTGCGCCATTGCTCGAGCTCGGGGCGGGCGCTTCGCGTATGGAGGGTGTCAGGTTGAAGCGGACGCGGTTTGGCGTGCGCGGAGACTTGGCGTTGGTATCGGCCAGGGGATCGTCGGCGAGGAGGCCGAGATCTTCTTCGGAAGAGGCATGGTCCTCGCCAGTGGGAGCTCCATAGGTTCGAGCCTGAGGCATTGTACCAGGCAGGCTGTATTATTGCCGTGGCATCGTCGGTAGGTCGCGGCGGCTGCGTGGCGCGGTACTGGAGCAAGAGCTGCAGTGGTGGTGAGGCCAATGTGGTGCAATGTAGTGAACGGAGCGGAAGGAGAGTCGACAGCGTCAGGCAGGTGGTTCGTGCGGTTGTGGCCGGAATGCTTGATGTCTTGATGTGAGGCTTGTCGTGGTAGGTAGGGAGGTTGAGTGGCAGAGAGAGCTAGGTAGCTACCTAGGTAGGTACCTGCAAGTTGAGGCCAGCGAGTCAGGGGAGGGTTCCACGGGCCAAATTATCATCCAGATGTCGTGCGTACTATGTACCATGGAAGCACTTGCTGAGTAGGTACTGAGGACAGCCCTTGTTAGGGAGGCAGGTACATAGTACATATAGCCACCTGCCCGCTATTGTGCACCTAAAACAGGGGACAGGAGACAGGAGCATCCCGCGTCCCCTGAGGCGCTCCCAACGCCGGGGGGGCTCCCGCCTATTTGGGTCGTCAGACGGAAATGTCGCTCCACGTATCGATGCGCTGCAGCATGGTGCAGGAGACTTCGCTGTACATGCCTGTCAACGTCCGCTAGTCCGTTCTGAGACGGGTCTCCTCCATCGTCTCCCCACCAAAAGCACTTTTGCCTCTTTCATGACACCTCTCAAGCCAAGGCCCTTGCTCCTCCTCCACCTTGCCTATGCCTACCTGGGCGGTACCACAGCACCACTGCACCACTACCTCGACCATCCATTTACATGGCATTCATTCCCTTTTGACCCTCGGGTCTCACAGCACCCTCAATACCGAGACGGGCAGCAAAAACAGTCTACTTTGTGCGTTATCGGCCAGATGAGCGACTTTATCTTTCGAGCCACCACGCGATAACCTTTGACCGGCCACCCCTCTGCACCACCACACCCACCAACACGCGACGACGACCGAAAAGAGAAAGAGGAAGAGGCTTTTCAGCCTCTCTGCCTTTTGCCCTGTCTCTCTGGCTTATCTCGCAGAACTCGACCCAGGTTGCTTGACAGCCGCCTCGCCCGCTCGCCCGCCCCCCTAAGGCCTACTACGACGCCTGCTCGGCATGCACTGACTGGCTGGCGTACATCCTCTATCGGACCCCCCTCCAGCACTGGACAACCAGCACCTCCTCTTGTTATCGAGACCACACTGACGTGACGAGCTCTGAGCTCTTCTCAGCAGTCCTGAAGGTGAAGGCTTGCGGTCGCATTTTCTTTCATCACACCAATCTAAGTCTCATGCTCGTACTGGCAATCCTCCATCGATCATAAATCTATCGTGGAACTCTGAAAGACCGCCATGACAATTTTCTCCACCTCTCGATCCCTTGGTCTTGCAGCCAATGACACACACACCTGATCAACATCATCGCATCTTCTGCACTATCTCTCACACCTTTTAATCTATCTCGCCACGATGGATCCAGCTGCCGCCTTCGGGTCCATGGATTTGCCAACCCCTACGCCAGCGGCCGTCGCCGCGCCTGCGCCCGTGCCCACACCGGTACATGCCGCAACGCCTGCTCCGATGCCACCACCTGCTGGTTCGGGCTCACTGCCATTCCCCTCGGCTTCAGCCCCTGGATCCGGCTCGACTGCCGCTCCCATCTCCAGCCACGGCCCCAATCCCGGTCCTGGGGGCCACCTTGCACACGGCCATGCTTACGCCCACGGTCACAGCAACCCGCCCGGCCTCGGCCTCGGCCCCGACTCTCACAATGCCATGTCTTCTCAGAGCCGCCCATGTGACATTTGCCGCCAGCGCAAGACCCGATGCGTTCGTGAGGAGGGTCGCGACAAGTGTGTCATGTGCACCTTCCACGGCCAGCCTTGCACCTACCTCCGCGGGCCCTTGCCTCGCAAGCGCCGCAAGGCTACCGATCCCGCCGAGCACCGTTCTCAGCCCAACGGCTCCGCTGGCGCTTCTTCATCGGCAGCTTCGGCTTCAGGCCCGACCTCGGTACCGGGCGCAGCCTCGACATCTGTTCCCTTGCCCCTGGATCATTACGAAGACCTCGAGTAGGTATAGGCAAACTGCTCTCCCTTTCATTCACTAACATGGGTCAGGCAAACGTCACCAGAACATCTCGAGGCTCTTTCTCCCTCGCTCGCCGGCTCAGACCAAGTCGGCTACTCCTACATTCGCCATCAGCCCTCTCTACTCGATGGCACTCTCGGCCTGCATCTCAAGACGCACTCCGAGTATATCGGGTTGACCAACTACAGAGAGCCGTGCCTGCTCGACCTCCATCGCGCCGAGGACTCGACCGCCAGATCTGTCCGCCGTCTCGATGACCAGACCGTCTTCCTTATCCACAGAGACAAGGAAACGACATCGGAATCCCAGCGCATAGCTGACCTTGATGCCATCGAGAAAGTCGTTCATCCACTGGGCTCGTCCCTCGTCAACCTCTACTTCCGCATTGTGCATCCCAGCTTTCCTATCCTCCACAAAAAAGTGTTCCTCGAAAAGTATGCCCGGTCGTATCACGAGTTCTCCCCGCCATTGTTGGCTGCTGTCTATCTACTCGCTCTCGACTGGTCTCTGTACGACCGCACACTGGCGACATCCTCCTGGCAACCAGACCAGACGGCTCTCGAAGCTCTCGCTCTACGAACCATGAGTGATGACATGAAGCGGCCGAAAATATCAACTCTTCAGGCTGGTCTTTTGATTCAACAACGTGCAAAGAACAATACCTGGAACGTCACTGCCCAACTCATCGCCTTATCCCAGGGTCTTGGTCTTCACGTAGATTGTAGTGACTGGGCCATTCCAGACTGGGAGAAGGGACTTCGTCGCCGTCTTGCCTGGGCCCTGTTTATGCAAGACAAATGGGGGGCTCTCGTTCACGGCAAGCCGTTTCTTATCCGTCCGAATGAGGACTGGGATGTCCAGCCATGTTGCATCGAAGACTTCCCCGAAAATGCCGCTGACGAAGAACACGATCCGGAGGGCAGCTCCGAAGTAGTCGTCGGTCGTGAGCTATTTCTGCGCCATATTGAGCTGTCGCTCATCCTGAGCGATGTGCTACGGACGTTTTACACGGCTAAAGCCACTAGGAGAGGAGGTACGCTGGACCAGATTGGCACCATTGGCGTCGCCGAACTTGCTAAGCCTATTGTTATGATGCTCCGAGAATGGTACAACGGGCTGCCCGAGGCATTGCAGCTCAGGGACACCCGCCTCAAGAAGCTGTGTGCGAACGGTAAGAAAAACGCCTAACACTACGTGAAAGCCGTGCAGTGAACCGTAACTCACAGTCTCCAGGCTCTCTCCACCTGTCGTACACTGCCATTGACTTGGCCCTACATCGAGCCATGCTTCGCAACATTAGCTCATCAGCTCCTAGAGAATTGCGCAACGCTATTCGAACGGGGGCGCGTTCTCGTCTTCTTGCCGCTGCAACCATCATTTCGAATCTGCAGCCGGAGCATACGCAGTCTTTCTGGGGATTCATGGCCTCTGCTCAGCTAGCAAGCATTGGCACCTTTGCCGGACTCCTTTGGGCCACCAGTGATGACGACGCGGAGGCCTCATTCTACGCGGAGCGCGTTGAGGAGTATCTTTGGAGCTTGCGCGTACGGAGCCAGGCTGTGCCCTTCGCACGAGAGGCGCTTCGACTCCTGGAAGCCGAGGTGGGCGGGCTCGGTCCGGTACGGGCAGCAGGTATGCCAGGAGAGGTCATGCGAGTATGACACGGCCCAGGATTGGTGAAGAGATCATTTGGATGACTAAATACTGCTTCTTGGGGAACAAGAGACGCGGCCATATCTTGCGATCATATTTCGGGCCCCACTTGTCACCCTGTCAAGGGACTTCGGTCGGCAGAACGCGCAACTCATCCGCTCAAAGGTGTGTAGTGTCTCCTCCAAGGCCTGCCGCCGCCTGACGACGCAAGATGGGCTGCCAGTGGTTCTCCACGGGGCATTGTGTTGGCGTCAGGAATGTGCTGTTGGCGTGTTTTTGCGCCACATGCGTGCAGCTCCCCTCTGACCAGTGGCTGAGCATGTCTTTGGCTCGAAGATATCTACCACTGGGTTCCGAGGGCAGACCCGTATGATTTGGAACCATTGACAAACAGACGAATGCGAACAAAGGTTGAAGCAATCAATTTAACCAATGGTCTTCAAGCAACTCAGAGCAGCCCGGCACTAGAGAGCACTCTGAATGCCGTCAGTTAACTAGACACAGCAACTCTCGACAAGGCATCACGTTCTGCGACGTCCCATGGGCCTCATTCCGTTGAGGTTCGGGCCTGTTGCCTCCTCGACCAGCCGCCCGCAGAGGGGATTTCTCCGAGATACGTGGCGCAATCCAGGCAGGAACCAACGATACTGGAAACCCGCCCCAGGCAGATACCTTCTAATCAGGCTCGGCGCCAAAAATTCACCGTACCGAGCAGGTGTTTCTTTCCGTGGGTGCGAGTTTGAGCCTGTCGTTGGCCAGATAAAGGGGTTGCGATATTGTCCACTGATTTTATTGGAAAGTCGTGATGATGTCGAGGGGATCATGAGAGGCTGGGGATGTTGTCCTCAGGGACACCAGATCTCACTCCAAGGAAACGACGTCACGACTACGAGGGGCCTCACTCTGGCCACACATATCGAGTCGGCCCCATCGATTGTCATCTTCACGCCGGGCCTCAATGTCTCCTCGGCTGACAAGGTTCATTTCTTGAGGCCCTGTTGCTCAGTACTAGCCCTCAGAATCATCACAGAACCCCACCCTCGCGGCATGTGGACAACGCACAAAACTTCACTCAGCTTCACTTGTGCCGTTGTGGTCATCGTGGCCATCTTGGTCTTCCTGGCAAGCTGGATGTGTGTTGCCTAAATGAATCTCCCGACCGTTTAAAGAGGTTTCGGGCAAAGAAGAAACGGTGGTACCGCCACGACGAAAGAGCTGTCCATACCGACGGAGCTTATGAGCTTGAGACGAAGGATGCATATGTGAGTGTATGACAACCGTACTCGAAGGAGCCGCCATTCATGGTCGAGGCAGTGAACAATCTCACTACGGCGACTGAAATCTGTAAAATTTTGCATGTGCTTTTATGAGATGCTTTGGGAGCGAGGGTGTCGGATTGCGTGTCTTGTCTGTTAATTACCTGCATTTGGGAAGGTCACGAGATGTGAAAAGTATAGTCACTTACAAGCGTTCTAGTTGAATATGATACAACATCAAACTACCATTGCCTGTCATGCCGGATGGATGTATCAAGGCCATCACAGCAATGCTGTTCAGTCTCCAAATGCAACATCTGGCCCCTCTGATCTGGTGTATATGCATAGCACCTTCATAGTAATGTACCAAGTCACCACTACTGAATCGTCAAGAGCCAAGTGAAGTCTAGTTCATAGCTGAGTCTCAAGTCGTTCATCATCACTATCGCCAAAGGCAAATCCAATCTTGAAGCGCTGTCGCGCTCGAAATGACGTACCACAAAACACGCACGCTCAGACAGCCGAGATGACGAGTAAATCATCGTGCGGCCCGACAATCTCGCCCTCCTCCACCAACACCCGCGTGACCCTTCCCTTTACCGGACTGGAGATCTTGATCTCCATCTTGTTGGACTCGATCCAGACAAGCGCATCCCCAACCTCGACCTCGTCCCCCTCCTTGACGACGCACCGCCAACACTTGCCCGGCATCTGCGCACGCACGCGCTCGCCGTCCACGTCCTCTCCTCCGAGTGCGCGTTTCTCCCCCTCGGGGGCCTCGTATGGGCGCAGCAGTTCCTCGAGGAAGGGCGCGTTGTGGAAAGCGGCCTCGCGGGCAGCCACGACGGCGTCGAGCTCCGTCTTGTTCGATGCAAGCCACGCCTCATACGTCTCGAGCTCAATGGTGCCCGGTTCGACATGCACGAGCGTGCTGGTTCTGCCCTCGCGTACGGCGGCGTCGAGTTCTGCCTCGGAAATGTGGTAGAAGGAGATGCGGTCGAACAGGCGGAACATCCAGGGCTTCTTGGCGGCGCTGCCGTTGCTCCTCGTGCTCGTGGCGAGAACCTCGTCCCAGATGGGGATGGTGCGACCGACGAGCTGGTATCCGCCCGGTGAATCCATGCCGTATATGCACATGTAGTTGCCGCCGAAGCCTACGGCGCCGCACGGCGTGAAAGAGCGCGAAGGGTTGTATTTTGTGCCTGTGAGGCGGTGGCGCGGGTCAAGAGGCACTGTACATGGGGAGCCAAGGAAGACGTCGCCGAGGCCAAGAACGAGAAAGGAGGCTTCAATAAGAATGTCAGAGACGGCGTCGCGCGAGGGCAGGGCGTTTAGCTGCTGCAGAAAATCGACATTGCTTGGCAGCCAAGGAGCCTTGTCGCGGATGGTGGCAGCGTAGCGAGCGATGGCGGCCTGGGACACCGAGTCGTCAAAGACGAGGGGAAGGCGGAACGATCGTGATGGAAGAGAAGACGGGGTAGACGCGTTCTCATGGATGCGAAGCGCGACGAGCATCGTCTGGGGCGAGATGCCTGCTGCGTACTGGACGTGGAGGGTGCGAACACCGGGCGTGAGTTCTTCCACGCCAGGAATGGACTGTTGTTTGTGTCGATCAATGAAAGAGTAAATGAGGAAACTTGTGCGAAGCGAGAAGTCATCTTCGCCAAACTCGAGCAGCATCGCTCTATCACCTGCCTGCCGGCACAGGACCTGACGGCCACCGCTTCCAATGTCGCCGAGCAGAGGCTTCAGGTTCTGGTGAGGAGCGCCGTGGCCATTGAGAGCAGGAATATCATACTGTGGGACGGACGCGAGCTCAGTAATCGCCTGCTCAAGGGCGGCATCTCGTGTGAGAGCTTCTTCGGCGCTGATTGCCTGGAATTTGACGCGGTCACCTGGTCGCATTTGGCCGAGCTTCCACATCTCTGAAGAAGCAACAACGCAGAAGACGACGAATCCTCCGAGGCTGGGACCGTCGCACGTCAGGATGACTGCTTCGTCACCAGTGAAGCTGACACTGCCCACCGAGTACGGCGTGTCATGTATGTTCGAAGGGTGAAGACCAGCGCCGCCGCCTGTGCGTCGCGCCCACTGAGGCTTGGGACCCGTCAGGCGGATGCCGAATCGGTTGCTATTATAGTGGACAGACCATTCCTCCTCGAAGAGGGTGTCGAGTCCCTCAGCAGTGAAGAAATCAGGGGCACCATGAGGGCCAGGGACGACTGCCACCTTCCAGACGGCATCGGGTTGAACAGGAATAGGGGGCTGAGGGGCTGGAACCACCGAGACCATTGCATCAATCGCCGTAGCTTGACCAAGAGGAAGAAGATCGCCCGAGCGGAGGTTGCGGCCATTGTGCCCACCAAGTTGGCCCAAGGCAAAGGTGGATCGGCTTCCAAAGACTTCGGGTACATCAACGCCGCCTCGGATGGCTAGGTACATACGGTATCCGTTGATCGCTTTGCCGAAAGCCAACGTCTGGCCGCGGCGGACGGAAAGAGCGATATTCGTCTTTGCAACTTCCCTATCAATCTTCACCTCGACCTCGGCACCAGTTATGGCAACGATTGCATCGGAATGAAAGAGGAGCGATGGTCCCTGAACAGTCATTTCCAGGCCCGCGGCGCGACTATCGTTGCCCACGATGCGGTTGGCCAGCCTGAAAGAGTAATCGTCAAAGGGGCCGGAGGGGGGTACGCCAATATGCCAGAACTTCTTGCGGCCTGGGAAATCCTGGACGGCCGTCTGCGAGCCTGCTTCAACAACCTCAATAACTGAAGCCTCGACCTTGAAGCTATTCAAAGACGAAGTGGTGAAGCCTCCCGATCGGAAAAGATCAGATCCGATGATTTGGCGGAGGTATCCGAGGTTCGTCTCAACGCCTGTAATGGTCGTCTCAGCCAGCGCGAGTGCCATTTTCTCGAGCGCCGATGCTCGATCATCAGCTACGACGATGATCTTGGCAATCATGGGGTCGTATGAAGAGGAAACGTCCATGCCAGCCTCGACCCATGTGTCGACGCGCACATTCTTCGGAAGGACTACATCGACAAGGCGTCCAGGAGAGGGACGGAAATCCTGCAGGGGGCTCTCGGCGTAGACGCGCACCTCGATAGAGTTTCCATTGACAACAAATCCTTGCTCGCGATTGAGAAAAAGATCATGGCTGTTTCCAGAAGCAATCTTGACCATGGCTTCGACGAGGTCCAATCCGGTGACCGACTCGGTCACGGGGTGCTCAACTTGCAGTCGAGTATTGACCTCAAGGAAGTAAAACTCTTCCGTGTCAACATCGTAAATATATTCAATGGTTCCGACGTTGCGGTACTTCACCGCCGCAGCGAGGCGCTTGGCCGCTTCTCTCATCCGATCCCGGACAGCCGGCGGCACGAAGACGGCGGGGCTTTCCTCAACGACCTTTTGATTCCTTCGCTGCAGCGAGCAATCCCTCTCGCCGGCGGTCGTGACGTTTCCCTCACCGTCGCCAAGCATCTGAACCTCTATATGCCTGGCATTCTCGATGAAATGCTCAACAAACATGCCAGCGTCGCCAAAATTCGCCTCGGCGAGTCTTTGCACGCTGTGATACGCCTCAGTCAGACTCTTTGCGTCATCGCACCGACTGAGCCCGATGCCGCCACCGCCGGCCGTGCTCTTGAGCATTACGGGGTATTTGATGCGCTCAGCTTCGGCGAGGGCCTGGTCGACGCTCTCGAGAAGAGATTTGCTTCCAGGAACGACAGGAACGCCAG